ATCCCCTTTGGGAAATGGTCCATCCAACCAGGTTCTTTATAAATTGTCACAAATCTCCTTTGCAAGGTATTCAAAATCTTTCAAAAGATTCTATGCGAAAAATTTTAATTTTTTTTGCATTCTTTTATTATATTGGTTTTTGCTATTAGAAATAGTCATCGCAATAATATTTATTTTTTTGACATTTAGCACATTTGATAACCGTTATACATGTATTTGTACATGTAATGTTTAAATTCGATGTGTGACAAAAAGCTCTTATTATATGGCTAAACGTTCTTACAAATAGACCATTAGCGATAGCTGTCATAGTTTATACATGTAACTACATAATTTTTATTAAAAAAAGGAATGATTTGAAACTTGTAATTACAAAAAAATTTTTACTACTTTGAATCATTTACAAATAAAGTGGCAATTGGGACAGACGCGTTTGTCTAAGTGAAAAGGACAAATGAGATTTAAAGTTTTAAGGAATAATAAACATTATTTAATGAAGAAAAATAAGAATCAAAATATGTATAGAAAAATTAATCGAAACTTAGATCTTACTTCGAAAATAGTACATATTTGTTTAGAGTATGAAAATAGTGACATTATAAGAATTTTCTTAGCAGACAATCGAAAATTTACGGAAAAATCATTAAAATTAGTATTAAAGTTGTTCAATTAGCTCAAGAATTAAAATTATGCACGGTTCGGACTTCTATATGAAATCAGCAAATCTTGCAAGTTTTGCCCTGTTTCTAAAATGCATCTTTAGTATTAAACTTTAAATCTATAATTTTGATAATAACTATTACTTATTTTTGTTATTACATAAAAAATTATGGTTTATAAAGAATGAACAAAAGTAAGTTTTTTCATTGAAAATTTACTTTTTCAATAATCTTTATTCAACATAAATTTTTGAATTTATGACATTTAGCTATTATAACGTCAGCATCTATACTTATTAATATTATTAATAACATTTCTAACTTTTAGAGTATTAAACATCATAAGATTGAACATTTTTGGACTTGTATCTATTTCCATTTGCACATCTTCAGATGTACTTATTATTACAAGTAAATTTGTGATTCAGGTGTAGTTATCAATTACTAGCATTAATTCAAGATATTTTGAATGATTTCGAAGATGAAATTGTTCTCCGACAGTTTCTACACTATTAGTAGCCGCATCTAAAGGCGATGTAACCGTTACTATTGCTATTGATATAGTTGATTATTTCTTTTATTTCTTAAATAGGTGGTTTTAGCAAAAAGGAATAATATTAGAAGCAGGATTGAGTTCTCCTACTTTAGTTGTAGTATTAAATATTCCTGTAATCATTAATAAAGCTGATGATACATCAATGTTATTTTTTATATTCGTAGTCATCGTTACGATTGTTCTTTCCTTATCTTCGTCATCTGAAGAAAATCTTGCATTAAAAATATTAAATGGTCTCTTTCTTTTAGTAGTCGATGTTTTATTAGCTGAAACAGTTGTTATTTCTATAGCGACTAGTTTTGTATTCGAATTTATTTCAGCGATATTCCTTGGTTTCACTCATTTTCCTTATCTGATGGTGATGCAAGTGGTCTAATATTGTAAATCTCTCATCCTCAGATTCGTTAGGGGCTTCGATTTTATTATGGGATCTGTTATCTGATCAACTTTTTTTACCAGATAGTAGTCGTAGAATCTAGAATCTTATCAGGAACTTCCGAAGTAGAACGCGAAAGTTGAGGTAGTTTCTGGTGGTAATTTCCTTCTTATGACAAATAGAGTCTTGAAAAGGGAATCATTTTTAGGAGAGACGTGAACCCTATAAATAGCTCTGCGATTGGATTCTGAACGTTTATATGCAAAGCCAGGAATATAACTTTTTAAATCTCAATTTTAATTCCGTGTTATTTTCTTCTTTTCTTTATTAAGAAGTAATCTTTTCGCATTTGGATTTGCTATAATCATACTTGAGCCATCAACCTTCAGAATATTTTGATGATGAAGAATCAGCAGGATCAAATTTCTTATTCTTTATCATTTTCTTTTTAGCAATATTAATTAGTAACAGCAATAATCGTTGGTACTTGTACTAAACATATGATATAAACTAACAAATTGCATTCCTGCATTATTATTATTGCTGTTATTATTGGTATTATTATTATAGTTATTATAGTTAATTTTTATTTTAGCAAGAAGTGCTTTGATATGCTGTTGAACATATCTAGTCATCGCCACCGAAGTTACTACTTGTTTCCAGGATACTTGTTCTTTTATTATCATTTGCTAATGATTTAGTTATTTGAAAAATACTGTAAATCATCGCTTGGTGAAGACAAGCACATTATATGGCAGCAAACCAGTGTTTTCAGATTGAATTGAAATTTTTTGACTACTGTTCCCAGAACGATACGGCATTCATTTGTGAGAAACGAATTCTTTAAGACATTTTTAGAACTTTTTGTTCTTGTTCGATATTTGTTGTTATCGATGCTGTTATATTGGGTTTATAGTGCGAAATCAAATCGTTTATGCGTCCGAAAAATTTCTTTATTTTTTAAAATGTGGTTATATATACACGTGCTTCACATTCATGTCTGAACTTAAAACTTTTTTAAAAGTTGGTAATCACAATTTTTCAATATATACACATGTTTACCCTATTATCATGGACGAACATAAATCATATTTTGTTGGGTAATTACATAATTAAAACTCACAAATCTTGCAAATATATAACAATTATAACAATTTCAGATTATAATTATTAGTTTAAAGAAATGCAACCAATCAAATCACACCACCATTTCAATGATAAAACGAGATGATTGTTGTGATAACTTCAGTTATAAAATGTTTCCGATCTTATTATATGCTTTCAAGCGGGATCAATGACTTTTTTGCTGTGATGCAATGTAAATTTTATCTGTGATAAGATATCAATTCTACAATATTTTGTAACTGAATTTCAACGAATTTTGGATAAACTTTGAGGTCACTCGATCATATAAAGAAAAACTACATTCAACATCGCAACAAAGATATAGGAAGCAAATATAAAGAGCTAAAATTAGTAATCATGTGCTTAAGTTTTGTCAATATATGTCTAACTCTGTTACAATATTATTATCTTCCGATCCACAATAAATAGCTCCATTCCCGAATTAATGTATCTGATGGATTTGCAAGCTCCCGAATATCTGCATGTGTGTCTTTTCTGAATATTAGCGTGAATATATTTGAAATCAGGCAAGCTTGGAAATAATCTACGTACAGGCTGTTGAAGAATATGTAGTCAGAATTTATTGTCAGAATTAAAATGGAAATTATAAATAAGTATTTCGAATTTTGATTCAAATATTACGCTTGACGATTAATTTGAATGTATGCTAAAAGTTTGTTCAAGTTAACTCACAAAGGAAGTTATGATTTAGTTGAATTTGAAAAAATATAGATCCTGAACAAACTCTTTTAAATAAAATTAATTTATATAATAATCTCGCCATAATTTCAATTAATTTGTGAATATAATTTGATTACTCAAGGTTTTAATACTTTATAATAATGTTCTGAATGAATAAGAATATATTATAGAATAAAAGTGTTATTATGAGAGATTGACTATTATCGGAATTAAATTTATTGTATTTCTATATACAAAAGTTATTTGCTACACTTCTTGCGCAGCTATTAGTTGTTTCGTCCAACAATAACAGCTTGTTTTGAATGAAAAAATGTATATATATTTTGTTGATGTTTTTCAAAGACATAGGGTAAATAAATTTGATGCAAGTAGGTGCTTTGGAATTACGTCATCTTCTTTTAATGTTTTTGAAAAGGTAGCAAAGTGTTTACTTTTTTAAGAGAAATATTTGCAATAGAAAAAGCTTCAACTAAATCTTCAATAACTCATATTTTAGAATTAGCAATTGTAAGTTGTTGAGTTTGTTGTTTTTTCTTAAATTTAGTTTTATTTGCTCAATTTTTTACTATTAATATGTTCATCTAACATTGAATTAGCTTTACAATCAACTGATTCATTACATAATACACAAAATATAATGCCATTATCAATTCTTTATATGATACATTTATTTATGTTTCAACTTAAATAGTACTAATAATGATTAATAATGAATCATGCATTCATCATAGGATTCTGTGAACCCTTTGAATGCAGAAAATCATCAGCCTTGCTTTTGAGATTTCATTGAAATCTCGTTTGATGTGGCAGAAACAAGAAACGTGCACACGATGAGAACACAGGGATAGCCAGTATCCCGGTTTTAAGCATGCATGTGAGAACACATTGAAAATATTCAAATCAAAATTAAATAAGATTAAAATATTGATTATTTAAATATTAAATATTAAATTCTCAAAATGCACAACTCAAATCATTGAACTGAATTTGAAATTTACTTGATTAGAATTTGATACACATTTTTAGTCGAATTTACAAATAAGGGCACAAAAATCAAAAATTACAATAAGTTACTAAATAAAAAAATATTATTTATAAGGACCCAATATTTAGACTATTATAAATAATAATAAGGGATTAGAATCTTTTTTGCATGGTACAAATCACCCAAGCTCGAAATCTAAGCTAATCATAAATCAAGCCTTTGACTCGAAATTGTGGCTCAAATTATGTCCAGAAATACTTATTTCTAGTTCGTTTAATCCAATAAACTAAATTATTTTCTTGTAAAATTGTCTCTTGATTCCAATGAACTTGGATTTTCCCTGTGAGATCTTCTCTTATAATCACTCAAAGATAGCACAATGCAAATCGGAATGACATCTACTATTATGGAGAGCGTTCGCTCGGTCCTGGATGCCCATTCTGCCAAACTATCTTTACCATACAAGTTCAAAACCAATAAATCCAACAAGCCGCATGTCGCTTGAAAGATTTGTTCCATGTAAAAATATTTTGAACCCTTATTTGTAATATTTTAAAATATTAAGTTCTTATATATAAATATTTTAACTTTAGACCCCTTATTTGTAATTTTTTAATTTTTGTGCTCCTATTTATAAATTCTCCTATTTTTTATTATTACCATTAAAATGTTAGAACTTGTTATTGTGATCAACTTCACGAGCTTTAAATTTTTAATATAACACAGTTACAGTCCGTATAGAATGTATTTTTTAAATTCAGATGCGATTTTTAAAGACACCTATATACATTTATCAAGTTTCTCCCTTTTTTGATACATGTAATAAACATCACTTTATTATCTTTGCCACTTCGTCAACACTATAATTTCGGTAGGTTAAAAAATGGTATCCACACACCTATACGCAGCTTAATAAAATTGAAAAGGGGAAGATTTTAGCGTACATAGACACCATGGACACCACAAATACCGCTCAAATCGCAAAAATACT